GCTGATGTACTGTTCCTGTCGTTTTTGGATAATCTTCAGTAGAATCTTGCTTGCATGTGAAATCAATGATATTGTTCTGTAGTTTCCACACTCAAATGGATCGCCCTTCTTTGGGATGGCAACAAATATTGACCTCTTCCAGTCAGTGGGCCAAGTGGTTGTTCTCCAGATTTCTTGGCACAACTTGGTGAGCACATCCATGCCAGCATCTGTTAGCTGAAATATGTCAATTGGTATACCATCTATTCTGGGGGCCTTATTTTTTTCTATTTCCTTCAAAACAGCTTGAACTTCTGCCTTAATCACCATAGGCTCTGGCTCAAATGCTATTTCATTAAATTCTTCTGTATCTGCCAATTCCTTTCAGTACAATGTCTCAGTATGTCTTGCATAGAAAGGAAAATAAGTAAAATAAAAGCAATTACTTTGACCCTAAGGTACCAGCTCTTGTTCATTACCATTGGCTCCTGTTTTTATGGTACTTCCTGAAATTTTTCAGTGTCAATCAATTGGACCAATAGGTAGGTGTCATGACGAATGGAGATTAGATTGAAATTGTCAACAGATTCATCTGCTTAGATCCACAATTAATACCATTGGTATGAATAGTCAGGAAATAAGGAGACACATTGCACTGGGAAAATCTGCAGTTCTGGACCTTTCCAAATTATTGAGGAGCAGTGATGTCAGTTTGAGGATTCAGGTACATCTGATTCAGGCCATAGTCTTTCCAATTACTAGCTATATATCTGAGACCTAGACAATGAATAAGGATGACAGAAAAAGAACTGACACTTTTGAGCTGTGATGCTGGAGAATATCCCGTGGCCAGCCAAGAAAACGAACAGATACGCTTTGGAGATGGTGCAGCTGGAGTTCTCTTTGGAGGCAAGAATGATGACAAATACTTTGGACATGTTGTTAGGAGGTTCTATTCCTTGGAGAAGGACATAATGTTGGGAAGAGTGGAGGGTGGAAGAGGGAGAGGAAGATCCTCAACCAGGTGGATTGATACGATGACTGCTGCAATGGACTGTTGTGTGTTGTGAAGTATGAGGATGACACAGGATAGAAGAGGTTTCAGATCATTTGTTCATAGGGTTTCTATTAGTCATGGTCTACTCAACAGCACCTAACAACAATAAGGTATCAGCTTAAGTTTTTAAAATCTTTTCTTCAGTTTCAGTGGAAATTTTACTTACCCCTTCTTACAGGCGGTTTCATGTTCAATTCCACATATTTATTGTTGAGTGTTAATTTAGTGGTGTGGATAGAACTAGCAAAACAGTTCACACGCCAGAACTTATTAAGAGCAAAAACTACATCAGCTTCATTAACAGTGTTACAGTGGAAACAAACATCTCCAAATAGATGACTATCATGGGTTTTCCAATGTGCCAGGCCCTTCTTTTCATAATGTCAATGTCCAAGGAATGGCTTTTCACACTTGGCATGAATAAAATACTCCACATGCCATTGTTTGCCCATGGCATTTACCACTCTTTCTTCAGTGTGGCAACAAGCATTACAGATGGAGACTCCCATTTTGTCCTGACATGGTAAACAGTACAATTCCCCTTTTAGCTTCTGGACAGCCACAGTTAGTTTCCTCCAGCAGCTGGCATAGTTAAAATCATCTAGATCGAAGGGTCATTCTTATCAACAGTTGTTTATCAATGATGGAATGAGAATTTTGGCAAATGTATTTTTTCCAAGTAGCAAAAAGCTGCACTGCAATTCTGAAGGCACGCAGCTCGGGACCACCAACTGTTCTGTGGGAGAAAGATGGGCAATCTCCTACAGTGCAATTAACTACCAGAGGGTCAACTGTGGGTCAGTTCCAACTTGACGGTACACAACAACAAGACCACAATAACAAAAACTGGATTTCTCACGATTATGACAGGAATGACAGAGATGTCTCTCTGTATTCTTGACAAACTCAATATCTGCCAAAATTTCATCACAGATTTCACAGCAAAACATTCAGGATGCCAACTTTTATCAATGGTTTTTATAAATAATCAGGCCAATGATTAATTCACTGCCCTGATTAGAAAAAGGAGAAAAAACATCTGAAAATCATGTTCACAATATTTGCTTTCTTCAAACTCAAAGAAAAGTCTTTCTGGGAACTGCTGAAGCATTGTGCATACGTAAAACACTGCTCACAGTACAACTAACTTGTCATAACTGTTCACTATCTTCTCAGCAAGTGCAAAACCTTTACAGCCCTCACAGATAACATTGGCCAGGACAATATTACTGCTGGTCATCCCATCCACAAAACCCAACATGTTTTTGCAGTTCTGTGTTGGTCAAAGCACCATCTCCATCAGCACTTTGGCTCACAAAGGCTGATTGAACTTTGTCTTCCTTTCTGTTCTGCAGTAGGAGGGTGAACCACACATATGTGAAACGGAGCAACTGGGGCAAGCCTAGCTCTTTGGAGCAGGAAGGCAAGGCCTGGAGAAGTTTTTTTATGAACACAGGATTTTAATTTTAGAAGGTCCCATTTATCTGTTTTATCATATCCTAGTTATGAGTTTTAACCTCTGTTTGAAAGTCTATTCACGCCATAGATTAGGATTTCCAAAATTTTTCTCAGTGTATTTGGGGTTTTGTTCCTTCCTCTGGTGATCTTTATAGTTTTTGTTTTTTCCCTTAAGCCTCTGATTCAGCTTGAGTCGATTTTTGTGTATGATGTGAGGTGTAGATCTTTGTTTAGTATTCTGCAGAGGGTTTTTCAGTTTAATTAGCACCATTATTTCTTAAGAAAACTGTTGTTTCCCCACTTACATAATTTTGTCTTCTCATCAAAAACTAGTTGACCATAGGTAAATGGGTTGATTTCTGGGCTCTTTATTCTATTACTCTAAGTATCTGTCACAATACTAGTATCATGTTGTCTGATTATTACAGCTGTGCAGTAGGTTTTTAGGTCAGGGAGTATGATGCTTCCTACTTTTCGTTTTAAGTCGTGCTTTACCTATTCACAGTCACTTTCCATTCCAGACAAAATTTGAAATTTTGTCTTTACATCTCATTAAGTAATGGTGACAATACAGAAATGTGATTACATTGAACTTGTAGATTGTTTTTAGTAGAATTGCCATTTTTATCATACTGAGTCTTTCTATGCATATATATATAGTATATTGTTTGACTTACCTAGGTCTCGTTGTTATTCTTGATGCAGTATTTTATACTTTCCTTTATATAGGTCCTTTATGTCTCTAGATTTGTATGTAAATATTTAATCTTGTGGTTAGCTATTGCAATTCTTATTTCCTTTTCTAGATTTTATTTTCTCCTATAGATAAGCCTGACTGATTTTTGGCAAAGACATAACTAATATGGGACTCATGAACAAGAGACTGTGGCGATGAAGGAAGGTGGTCAACCTATTGTGAGGGTATTAGCAAGAATATGGCCCAGGAATTGACTGCATACCAACTGACATATTTTAAAAAATAGACTCTGCCTTGAATGCACTCACCAACTTGTGCCAAAAAAATCTGGAGGGCACCATTCTGGCCAACTGAATCCTTATTTGTTCCCATATTAAAGAAAGGTGACCCAACAAACTGTGGAAATTATCAAACAATATCATTGATATCACATGCAAGCAAGATTCTGCTGAAAATTATCCAAAAATGACTGGAATAACACATTAAGAAAGAACGCTGGAAGTGCAGGCTGTATTTAGAAGAGGTAGTGGTACTAGGGATATGGTTTCTAATGTTAGCTGGATCATGGCTGATAGAAGAGAACACCAGAGGAATGTCTGTGCTTCATTGACTATGTAAAGGCATTAGACTTTGTGGACCACAACAAACTGGCTAACTCTGAGAAGAATGAGAATTCCAGAACAATTGATTGTGCTTATGCAAAATCAATACTTGGACCCGAAGGTAGTCATCAGAACTGAGCAAGATAATACTGCATGGATTAAAATCTGGAAGGATTTATGACGGGGATGTGTCCTATTTCCATATCTTTTTTTTATGTGATATTATCAAAAGTTTACAAAGAACTTGGACTTCCATTCATTAATTGTTGCACATTTCCTCCATACCCTACGACCCAGTTCACTTTTCTCTTTGTTGTTGTTGTTATGTGCCGTCGAGTCGTTTCCGACTCATAGCTACCCTATGCACAACAGCCCTAAACCCTTCTCTATCCTGCGCCAACTGCACTGC